GGGGGACCCGGCCCCGGGCCCCGGCCGCGGGCCGGGAGGCGGCTGCAGGGTTCGCACCGGCAGCGGGCAGCGCTTTCGCGCCGTTTGGGGGAACGTGTCTCATCGCAGGGCATAGCGTAACTGCAGAGCTGTTGCTTGCGTTTGTCCCCCTGCTCTGAAGCAGCTTTTGCCGGTAACCGTGTTTCCCCCTTCGCGTCTCCCCCTGCGCTGCAGGTACTAAAGATGGGCCGTCGAGCCCGCCAGGACTTCTTCCCAGATGAAAATCTCAGCAGGATCTGCTTCGGTTGGAGAGGTGGGTGTCCAGTCAGGAGAACCTGTCTGTAATCCTGCTGGTGTCTCCAGTGGAGGATTCTTCGTTTCCTCTGAGGTTCTTTCCCGCATGGTGTGCTCTGTCCTTTGAAGTTTGTCCTTAGAGCTGGGACCCATGTGACTGCCGTGTCCCTTTCCTGGTGTTGCCCTCTGCGTGACGTGTAGCTTTCACACAGGGTCGTATCTGGGGCTACGGTTTCTCATGTGTGAGGTATGGAGCGTAGCAGCAAACAGGACTTGGGGCCTCTCCATCCTGTACACGCATATCTTCCATGGGAATTAAAATATGGGCAGGCACATCATTTTATGACCAGTTTTGCCACCATCTATGGTAGCAAGACAGAATACAGGTAAGCAAATGCCTTGCTTTTGCACTTTGCTTTTGCTAGAGCCAGAGTACGGTATCTGAGATGGTCAGTATCAAGTCTGTATAGCGACGCTGTTTCCTTTCCTCCATGCACAGGCTACAAAGCTCATGCTAGGAGCCAGCTTTGCAGCATCTGAGACTTTGTCTTGTGGGTGATAATACACAAACTCGGTTCCCACTTGGCTTTGGAGAAAAACTTTGTTCAGAGTCTGTTCTGTCAGTACGTCTTCAAAAAGTATTAGATGGTCTGGAACCCCTCTTTCACAGGGGAGTGTGGCAACATCCTCTAATACCCCGAAAGATGAGATCCGAACACTTTCAATTCGCTTTCTTGCTTAGCGCTGCAGAATGCTCAAATTCTACCTGGAAGTTTGCTCTCTGACGTTAGCATGGCTTCCCCACAGGCATCTCCTGCTGGAAGGAGCACCTGTCAAGAAAGGACATACAGATTTTGCTCCTTGACACCTTCAGATGGACAAAAGGATCATCAGACTCCCACCTTATTGATAGTGATATTTGCTTAAATGAGATGATATTTAGCTTTATGCAGTGCCAGTTGTGGTCTACAGCATAACATATTCTTGGCTTCTTCAAATTGCAAACCCACTTTGCCCAGCTGGCCACCCTGGCACCAACTGTGCTTCAGGCTACTGTGCTCAGAGCCCTGGGACCTTCTGTCTTGGGAGTGGCTGCTCCCGGATCCTCTGCCCTGTGGCAAAACCCTCCTGTTACACTGTGTGAGTAGTTGTGTCCCAGCCACCTGTGCCGAAATGGTTTTGTGGGGGCATATTTCCTTGGAGTCCCTGCAATGCTGTTGAAAATACACTGTTATGGCTTAGCTTACAATAACACCTCCTAGAACAGGCTTTTTTTCTGGAGAAAGTATGCTCTTTGCTCTTGATAGGCATAACAGAGAATCCTCTCCCACCTATGCATTCTCCCCTCCCCGGGTATGCTATAGGAGTTCAGGAGGGATTCTGTGAGGGAGTTTGCAGGGGGTGTAATTTAAGAAATTGAAATAACCATGGGCCTTGTAGGTAAAGAAAGTTTTAAAGAAACCAGCTGGTGGTTTAAGTGGGTGTAATCATTGGTTAGCCTCCAGATTAGGGTGGCTCACTGTCAGATTGTTCTCTTACTGGAACTGGCCGTCCTAGTTCATGGACTGATGCCCTGGTTAGAAAGAGACCAGGGCCTGATGTAGGGGTACAGCTGAGTGATTGTAACTTACAGCAGTTGTACTTGGTGTGTCTCGCATCATAGCCATTATAATAGCTGGGAAGAGATCATAAAGGCTCCAGTCCTTGGGCAGCCCTGGAGAGGACTAAGAAATAGTTAGTCTTCTGTTTGAAAGCAGTGAGGTTTTTCAGCAGCAGAAGGGTGAGGCCTTCCACGCCTTACAAGGTTCAAATATGTTATTACTGGATCTTAACCACCAGGAAGAACCGTTTGTGTCAATAGTCTCCCTTCAGACAGTTCTTTGTTGCTAAATGTTGCTGTTAACTGAAAACCTTGGAGCTACTGGAGAAGAGACAAAATCCACTATAAATAATCCTCAACCTTTTCCTTTGGTCCAGAATTGAAGGCTTCTCATACACGATCATATTTGATACCAAAGTGAGCATTTGATAGAACTAACATTGTTTTTTCCTTCACCCTAGATGGGCAATCCCATTTTACTTTTCTGGAAGCTTGTCCTTGGCTTGCCTCCTCAGCTCTTACAATGGGTGTCTCATTTGGCCATCTGGTCATCTTGAAACCTTTTCAAGGAACCTTCCCAAAAGAAATGCAAAATAAAAAAAAAAAGGCACTTTTTTTCTGGAACTGGCAGTAGTGGAGGAGGCCCCATGTAATTAATTTCAGCATAGGAGGTTTTATTCTTATTACTGAGTTTGAACACAAAGGGGTTTGTCTTAAACCTTTGCCATATTCCTACCTTCATGTGCAGTTTCACATTCAGGGTGGTGATTCTGCCCTCGGTAGTTCCTCAGAGTTTTAAAACTTTAAGATTTACCTTGTTTTTTTTTTTGTATAATTCCATGTCATTCCACCCAATTTCCACCCAGCTCAAATTCCTGGTACGAACAAACTGTTTGTGCCATTATTCTGGTCTTTGCCTGACACTGAGAACCATCCAGGAAGTGTTTTCCAGTCAGAGCAGCTTGCTTGAAGGAAGCAAAAAGTACCTGTCTATCCATGTTTCAACATTTGGGCTTATTACAAGGAAATTGACTTCGAAGGGTGAACAACTCATTTAACATAATTAAAAACATCTTTGTTTTGAAGTCAATAGGCAAATCATCTGACTTGGAGCATAGATCTTATCAGATTACTGCTGATCTCTCCTTGACCTGGACTCTGTCTTCTGAAAGAGACTCCAAACAATGGTACATCTCCTCAATTGTGTGTCTTCTCACAAATGTGTTGCTAAAACCTCCTTCCCTGGGGCACAACTGCAATCTCTTGTGCCTTGTAGCCTAATATACTTCCCCCAAGCTCTATGAAAATGGTATGATATCTTAGCATCTTTTCAGAGCCTGTTTTGTGTATGTATCTCCTGCAGCAAGTTCCTTAACTATAGCGGTGTATCTGTAATTCCTCTGCCCAAATCTCTATTTGATAATTCCCATTGCTGTGTGGAAGTATCCACATTACCTTCAAATGTAGACCTCTGTCTCCTCGAGGGCCTCACTAAGGGTCACAAAGCTCACAGTCTGCCATCTGGCATGCAGAGCATTCCTGCCTTTTCAGAAGTACAAGTACTAACAAACAACACTGTAGCTATGTATTATTTCATGAGGCAAGAAGGAACATGATTATTTGCTGTAATTGGTGCAGTCAGCATCCTCCTGCAAGCAATGGCTGTGCGTGTTCCTGGCCTTTAGAGCTTCTTGGCAAATTGGCAGGCACTTCTTGGGCACCCAGGGGAATATGCCGTAAATGGGAATTCCTAGAGCTAAATCTGCTTGCTACATGCCAGAACTCCGCATTTCAAACATTCATTTTCAGAGGGGTAATGTATCCATTTTTCCATTGGGAGGCCTTTCCCATCCCCTGGCTTGATGTGTTACTTTTTACTCATCTTGATGCTACCAAGTTTCTGACAAAATGGGACAAATTCAAGCTGGTCATGTTATTTGTATAATGGGAGGGGCAGATCACATAATGAGATCTGTTGAAGATCTTTGCTGTCCCATCCTACCAGGGCTTCTGGACACTTTTATAGGATAAAAGTCAAACCTTTTTCCTGGCTCTAACACCACTGCATCCAACAGTCTGAATGCTGGCTTGATGACATCCACCAAAAGAAGCTGTTTGGCCAGGTTTGGAGCTCTTGAGACGATTGATTTGGAAAGCTGAGTGGAAAAGCCTTTTTTAAAAATATATCAGCAAATTTTTCCTTTTCTGTGTCGCCTCTCAGCAAGAGTGAACTATTTGCTGTTCCGTAAGAAATCAGCATGCAAAAATATTGTAATGTTATCCTGCTTCCACAGTCTGCTTTCTCTTCATCCTACAGTGACAGGATTCCCTTGGGACCTTGTTCAAGACTTCCCTGGTTTCTGCCTCTTACAATCTCAGTATGAGGTTGTCGGTGTCTCTCTGGCAGCACTTTGTAGATCCTTTGAGTGGAGACTGGTTTAATAGGCAATATGTCAGCCTAAAGGATGAGGGTTTTCCAGGCTGTGTTGAGACTATCTCCACACAGGTAGGACAGGATCACTTTCACTCTATATCAGGGTTTGCCCCAAAATCATTTAAGTTCCCTGCTGGTTCCCTTCATCACGTTTCACCAAAGCCTGGGGAAAGGCTCTGTGCTTTCACTTCTGAAAGTATGTTCTTGTGTAAAAAATACCTTATTCAGGGTAGATTCATGTAGACAGACAAAAGCTTGGGCCACCTCCACTGCATATTGGAAGGGTGTTCCCACAGGTGAATTTTGCAAAGCAGCTATTTGGACTTCCACCACCCAGCTTACAAACACTCCTGGCAGTGATTCTTTAGGCTGACATCCAGGCATCGTTTAAAGAGGACTCGGTTATCTAACCCAAGTGAATAAACAACTGCAAATCAATTGCTGAGGGGGAAATCCACGTGGAAGATTGCTCAAAGAAGTGGTTATTGAAATGCTTTTCCAACATGTGTTGTCCAGCTGGATTTCCTTCCTCGCTACTGCGAGGCCTGCACCACTTGGGCTCCATACATCCGGAGAAACTTAGGTCATGTTGGGCCCTGCAGAAGCCTTTCTGCTCTCGGGTGTGAGAACAAGTGGGTCCCTGCTGACAGACAAACACTTCCAACAGATTTTACCAGTTGGCCAAATCTGATTTCATTTATGCTGCTCACTGGTACGGACACTTCTGTACCCCAGCTGCCCTAACCTGTATGTAGCCTCCCTCTGCTCCTGTCATGGTAAGACCATAAGACCAGATGACAGCACAGACCCTAAGTGGACTCAGATACCAAACCACTTTAATCAGAGATATATGCAATTTATGAATCACATGGCTTCCCTGTTCCACAGGAGAGATGATGCAGTCCAGAATAAAAGTCGGGGGGTTAGTGAAGTGTTTCCAGCCATGCTGTGCGTACTCCTGGTGCAGGGTCATGGGATACCCTCG